TATCGCAGGACCGTCACGTTTTTGGAGAAAAGAAGTGCTATATGATATATTAACTTCATGTATTATAATGCACAACATGATAATTGAGGATGAGCGTGATCTTAATTCACCAATTCAAGATGCGTCGGAAGGTCCAACTCCGACCGTAGAAATGGCAATAGATGAAAATTATGAATTTCAACAATTTCTAGCTTGATATAAAAAAATAAAGGACAAAGAAGCTAGTTTGAACTACGTAATGCATTAATAGAACATTTTATGGGAGCACCGTAGTGATCTTGAAAGTTGAATATTTATGTAAAATTTAAAATAATTTTTTCAATTATGTAATATTTATCTAATCGTATTTCATTAATGATTTCACTTTTATTTGTATTATCCTATTTGCTAGCAATTTTATAATATTTAAAAAATTATGGTACAAAATAATTTTATATTAAACGATTATAAAAGGAAATAATATGAATGATATATGGTGAATGTTTTAGAAAGAATTTATTTTATGAAATAAGAAAATATAAATGAAATAAGAAATAACAATATAATAATGAAGAGATAGAAAAATATTTCTTTTTTGTGTTAAGTTTGGTGAAGTAGGTTGGAGTTGATTAAACAAAAAATAGTGCTGACACCAAATTTGATGTAAAATTTGGTGTTTGGGTTGGAGATGCCCTTAGCCCCTTTGGCCTTTTTCAGTTTTTATTGTCCTTTTGCAAGTTGGGTGAGCTTTTCCCAATTTTTGTTGGAATTCGTCAACTTCATGCACAATTGTTAGCACTTTCATCCATGTCACAATCAAATATAAATGTGTGGAAGGCGTGAAGAAATTTCCTACTACTTACTATGGATGAGTAGTATTCAATGTAAATGTACTAGTTGACTACTGGGAGTGGGAGGTGAAGATACTCGTAAAATAATTACGACTTTCTCGTACAAACTTTTAACAAGGAGAAGAATAATCACCTTTTTAAATGATCAGAGTTAATAGTACTCCCTCTGTCCCAATTGATATGACTTACTTTCCTTTTTAGTCAGTCATAAAAAGAATGACACATTTCTATTTTAAGTAATAATTTAGCTATCAAATGTCTATTTTACCCTTAATGAAATGATTTACAGCCACACAAATTTCTATCATTCATTTTGGTCCACAAGTTTTAAAAGACTTCCTTCCTTTTTTAAATTTCGTGCCGAGTCAAAGTACCTCATATAAAATGGGACAGAGGGAGTAATATGGTCCAATTTTTCTTTGTGCAGATGAATAGTGGGCCCATAACCATAAATGATCTACAGAGAAGCAATAGAAATTCAAATTAGTAGAAAAGTATAAGTATGGCTAAAACTTGTCAGAATAATTAATGTGATAACTAAGTAGACATAAAGAAATTTTCTATTAATATTATTAGTTGACTGGAATGTTTATTTCTTCTTTCCTCTATATAACTAATTTGTTCATCATTCAATTGATCTCATCCGATCCATACACTTTAGTTTTTCTTTTCAGACAATTAATTGAATCTATAGCATCTTCTTTTGCAAGTGATTCACAATACTGTCCTCGATGAAAGTACGAATCTTAAATAAATTTTTCCTATTTTCTAAAAACGAATGATGGTTGATTATATATATTTCTATAGGTTAGAAGGGATAGTTCCTATCAATTTTATTACACGATGACATTGTTAGGAAGATAATATTTTGATTGATTCTTTTGGAGTTTGATTTACATGCATAGTCCTTTTTATCATAATTATGGAGTTTACTGTGTAATAAACTTCTTATTCTTTAACTTTTTTTAACCTGTATATATCAATATTCTTATTTTTTTAAGGATTGAATCGGACTATATTCAGGAAATTGTTGACCAAATTTCCATATTATGCAAGGGTTCTTTATCTCAAAAGCAATTTCTTTGTAATCGACAAAATATGAAGACTACATACACATATATTCTGTACATAAAAAATTAGTCAAAGAGAATCTTAAATAAATTTTTCCTATTTTCTAAAAAAGAATGATGGTTGATTATATATATTTCTATAAGTTAGAAGGGATAGTTCCTATCAATTTTATTACTCGATGACATTGTTAGGAAGATAATATTTTGATTGATTCTTTTGGAGTTTGATTTGCATGCATAGTCCTTTTTATCATAATTATGGACTTTACTGTGTAATATACTTCTTATTCTTGACTTTTTTTGTTTACCTGTATATATCAATATTCTTATTTTTTGTAGGATTTAATCGGACTATATTAAGGAAATTGTTGACCAAATTTCCATATTATGCAAGGGTTCTTTATCTTATATGAAATATCTTGTGGGAATAGATACTCATTTAAAGAATAAATCTAGTACTAATTTGTAATCTCTCAGTATAAATCAAACTTATACTTAGTTAATACTTTACGCTATTTATTTGTGTTGTTAAATTTGACGTTATTCATTTCGATCTTTTCCGTCCTCCTCTAACCAAATATGAAATGTAGTTATGTTTAATGAATTGAATTTTGTAGAAAAACAATAAATAATACAACTTGACCTTATGATGAAAACGTAAGTTATATCCTTTCTTTATAATATCAATAACAATGATTGTGTCTCAATTGATTCAAATAATACAAACGTTTCTTTTTTGTGTATATAGACTTTTTTTAGAATTACGGCATCATCTCTCCCTCTGTGTTATTTATATTTATCTTTTAAACTTTTTATGCAGGCATATTTCTCGATAACTTTAAGAATTTACATAATAAATAACAAAAAAATAAATACTTTATTAAAATTACTATCTTCACATTTTCTGATGAGTAGCCTGCCCTAAATCCAACTGCAGATAGATGATCAATATAAGGCAAGAAAGTTGTGCCAAAACGGGTGAACGATAGAAGCATTAGTAAGTCGTCTCATATCACAAAGCAGGCGGAGCAGAGAGGAACTATTTCCAGGAATCGAACCTACTACCAAGTTCTACTGAAGAAGCATAATCTCCATTCACATCGTATCAACATGATAGAAATAGTTTGTGAATATGAAGCACTGTAAATTATCGATCTAGCACTAGGATTAAGTATAACTAATACCAGTGGATATAATCTTGATGATGTTACTATGACATTTGTAGATAAATTAACCACTTAATTTATGTCACATCCTTTAATTGTATAGCATTACTCTCACTAGTTGATATTCAGTTTTTTTCTAATGACAATTTGGGCATAAATGGTGGCAGTTTATCTGTGAGTACATTTCACCCTTTCTTCATTGTGATTTTATAATAGGTTGTAACTATATTTCATTTAAGACTACAAATTTAGAAAACTTAGGGGTCTTTTCTTTTGTTGGCAGAAGAGAGAGGGATACCAACAAATACAATGAGTATGGTAGAGCAATAATTACTGCTTCATTCTTAATAAAATATTTTGGGTTTACGCCTGGAAAATTGAGTGTCTTGCCCTCAATGTGAAACCTTCCAACATAAATCTGAATTAAGTTAGGCCCCTCTGCGGGTACAAGATATCGAGGTGAATTAACTCGCAATAATTCAATTCAATGAGATATCCAATGGAGATATAAATGTTAGTTGAAGCCAAGTTACATAGCATATTTATGTATTAATTAGAAAAAAAAAACTGTAGAAATTATACCTATAAATGTTAGTTTCTCATTTGTGTTCACATCTTCTTCTTCGTAACATATTTTAGAATTTCAAAGGTGACTTTTTCCATCCACAAATTAGTTTTATTAAGGAAAGGACAATCTCTTTCACTTTTTTCTTTCTTACTGACTTTCCCACTTCCTTTTAATTAAAGTTGGGGTGGGTGTGGCTCAACATGGATTCAATAATTTATTAGGTGAACATATTATTTATGAAACTTGTTTTCCTTATTTTGCACTATAAAAATTAGTTTCTTTATATTTAAGTAACTTATTTTCAGTAAGAACAATATTTTTTAAAAATACTTTTGACCAATTAAACATGGAAAAATCCAACATTTTTTTGGAACTTATTTTCCTTCTTACCAAACACATTTTGATTTTATTTGCAGGTTCATCCACTTGTATTTTTAGCTGTCCATTGTGTATGTATTATTGTGAAGTATTGGTGCAGGGTGGGTAGGTGGTCTTTGGGAGGATTTTTTAAAGCTTTTGTCCTCCTCTGGTCTTTTTATATAGTTGTTGATTCTTCTTTTCAATTCAAGTAGGGTCTTTGAAGGAATTTCCTACTACTTTCTATATAAACTTGACAAAAAATTAAAGATTAGTGTTTAAACACGTTTTCTTTTGCTTTTTTGTTGTGTCTGTTTTGGGGGGAAGGGAGGGGGTTCACATTCTACTTTAATTGTTCTCCTTTTTCTACTTAAACTATCATTATTTACTATGTATTAAAGTATATCTACTTGAGTAGATAGTGATAGTTCGAAAAAGTAATAACTGATAGTTGGTTTAGTTAGTTTCAAGGTGAGTGTTAATGAACCAGAACAACTAGTGACACAACTTTCTTTTTCCTACTTGATTTTGTGCATAATGTAAGAATGAGTCTCTTATGAAGTAAATTCATGAATTTGGGGATCGATAAATATTTTATAGAGTTTGAGTAAATTGCACAATGTGTTGGTAGGACATGCATGTTTATGAAAAATACATGAGATTGAGGAATAGTACTCTAACTCTGCTCCAATTTATACGACATGCTTTCCTTTTTTTGTTAACATTTTCTCTTCTTTCTTTTCCAAAAACAATTGATTATTTTTGTTTTTCATTATGACCCATTAGTGTTTTTAAAATGTCAAGTTGTCTGCTTTCGGTGACAAAGAAAACCATCAACATAATTTACAATTTCAAAATATACTTTTTTTCAAGGAGAGCGCCATCTGATATGATTCACTCTTTCTTTTTTTAAAAATATACTTTTTTTAAAGAGTAGATCATCTTTCATTTTCTTTCTATCACCACACCTACAATTTGTGTTTTTTTTTCCAGACGTATAATTGAATCCATGGCATTTTCTTCCTCTTTTGCGAGTAATTCACAGGACCGTGCTCGATGGAAGTATGATGTCTTTCTTAGTTTTAGTGGTTACGACACACGGAGAACATTTACAAGTCACTTGCATGAAGGTTTGAAAAATAGGGGAATATTCACTTTTCTAGATGAACGGGTAGATCATGGAAATTCCATCTCAGAAGAACTCGTGAAAGGTATAGAAGAGTCTCAAGTTGCAGTAATTGTTTTCTCAAAAAATTATGCAAAGTCAAGGTTGTGCTTGAATGAACTAGTAAAGATTATGAAATGCAAGGTTGAAAATGGACAAATAGTCATACCAGTCTTCTACGATGTGAATCCATCATATGTTCGACGCCAAATTGGGAGCTTTGCAAAAGCATTTGCCAAGCACGAATGTAGGTATATGGATGATGTTGAGGGGATGCAAAAGGTGCAAGGATGGAGAACTGCCCTAGCTGCTGCCACAGATCTAAGAGGATATGAAATCTATGACAGGTTAGTTGAAAACACATGATTTGAATCATAAATTTATTTATCATGAAGACCAGCTACACATATATACTAGCTAATATTACTATAGAACAAATCTTAAATAATTTATTTCTTTCGAGTGAATAATTTTATGGTCATCCAAGTATACTAAATTACTTGCTAAAGTCACTTGTGTTGATTATATATATTTATATCAATTTAATTACTCAATGACATTGTTATATATATATATATATATTTAGGAGTTCAATTTATGTGTTTTGTCCCTTTTATCATGATTTTGCACTTATCTGTGAAGTACTTCTTGTTCTTACTTTTGTAGGACTGAATCAGAATGTATTCGAGAACTTGTTGACGATGTTTCTTCCAAATTATGCAAGACTTCTTCATCTTATTTGCAAGATATTGTGGGAATAGATACTCATTTGGAGAAAGTAAAATCCCTGCTAGAGATGGAAACTAATGATGTTCGCATTGTGGGGATCTGGGGAATGGGGGGAGTCGGTAAAACGACTATAGCTAGAGTTGTTTTTGATACACTCTCACCTCAATTTCAGGGTGCAAGTTTCCTTGCAGATGTAAAAGAAAC